AGTATACCGTGTGCCAAAATAATGGCCAATGATTAATGCCCCATCCAGTCATTTACATGGTATAACATGCCGCCCAACATAATGTGAATCTCGATCTCTATGTGACCTCAGTTGGGTATTGTAGGTTCTCTGCTAGCTTAGCTGCATCATGTCAGTTACAGATGAGATGTCCTTTAAATAAATAAGGTCCCTATTTTAATGCTTCTTGTTGAGAAAACAGAGCTGAATAGTTTTTCTAACACTCCTAATTACAAATCCTCTATAATTTATGCTATGAAATCTGGGCTTTGAATGCCTAGCCCCCTTTTTTTTCTGGCTCATTACTCAAAGCAATGGCACAATTTTTTAATGAATGCGAACAGCTTGTTCAGGGAACGTCAATGTTTACCCAAAAAGTCACATCATTTTTCAAATTATACAAGGTGTCAGTACCAACAACCTTTTCTGTTAGCTTTCCAAAGACTCAGTACTGCTGGGCTATTACTTTCCAGGCACTGTGTTGTTCTGTAAACTGAGGCTTAGAAGCGGACTTCTTACCAGTGTAGGTGTGAGCATTAAGGATTGGAGGGGAAGCTCTGACGAGAGCGCTTCTGGCCAACATCACCCTGGTCCTGGTCCTTTCCTCCTTTTTTTTTTTTACCCTGGACATCATTGCGACGCCAACCTTTACAGAAAGAAAATTGACTGTAAGAAAAAACAATATTTACTGTTTGTTAAACAGCATAACACATGCACAGCCATCAAATGTGAGGTTGTAAATGTGTAGAAATACTAGATTATATTGAGAAATATTGAAGCATAATACCTAAAGCAAAACTCCAGCCCAACAAAAAAAGAGAAAATACTAAGATATCAAAAACCACCCGTAGACTAAGAAGAAGCAAATAATTCTTGGGATAGCCCAGGTCCCCTAAACCACTACCCAGGTACAATGTGTACTCTGTGAGATTCAAGTCATGGGAATTACTCACAGGTAATTAAAGTGATTCTAAAGGTTTATTTTTTTTAAAGAAAAAAATAACAAACATGTCTATATTTGGAGCTATTAAGCCCACAGGTACCTGTCAGTATCCAACATATCTGGAGGAACAGGAGCCCCGTATCCAGGCTGATTACCTCATTTAGCCTAAAGAAGGAACTCCTGGTCAAGGGATTCAACACCGTTCTCCAAGGGCTTGATGACTGCACCATAGGATAAAGTTCACCGGATTGGCCAATCTACTCTGGAAATTTATATATTTATGGGCAATATCTATGCGCTTCCGGTGAGTGCGCATTTTTCACTTTTGGTTGGAGTCACAGGTTCATCTGCTATATTTCTTCTTGATACAGACTCTATATCCGTTTATGCATTCACATGCGTTTATATATGTGGACATATTGTTTTTATTTGTTTTGAGCGCTACACCCCACTTATTTATCTATACTTTTACAGAGTTTTTATTGGTACCTCTTGGTGTTTTAGCAGCTACTTTTAGGAGCGCTCACTTCTATTTACTTTTAATATGTCTATACTTACCTGCTGTGTGCAGTGGTTTTGCACAGAGCAGCCTGGATCCTTCTCTTCTTGGGTCCCCCGAAGGCTCTCCTGGCCCCTCCCTCCTGTCGGGTGCCCCCACAGCAAGTAGTTTGCAATGGGGGCACCTGCTACTCCGTGTGTCCATTCACACACGGAGCCGCGGCTCGGCACCAAATCCTCTCTCTTCTCATTGGCTCACTGGCTGTAATTGACAGCAGTGGGGGCCGATTACTGCCGCCTCTGTGTCAGCCAATGAGAAGAGGAAGTCCTGGGATAGCTAAAACTCAAGTGCACATTGCTGGATCGAGATGGGGCTTAGGTAAGTATGCAAGGGGGCTGGGGAGGGAAACCGCACAATGAAGGTTTTTTACCTTCATGTATAGAATGCATGAAGGTAAAAAACCTTCAGCCTTTACAACCACTTTAAGGGCTCTGTTCACACCAATGCGTTTTTTAGTGTTTTTTGCAAAACGCACTACAGTCCATTTAACATGGTTTCCTATGGAACATGTGTACATCTATGCTTTTTTGAGCTACTGCATTTTTTGGAAAGGGTCAGGAACTTTTTTTAAAAGCAAAAAGCATTGTTTTTTCTACAATAGAGTTCAATGAAGAATCTGCTGAAATGCATGGTAGTGCATTTTTGCACGCGTTTTGCATTTTTATTCTGCACAGCAAAAAAAAAATTCCAGAAAAAAAACAGAGCTGAAGAAAATGCAAAATGCGGTAAAAACGCATCAAAAAAGCTTGTAGAAAAATGCAAAACAAACTGCAAAAGGCACTGCAAAACAGCCAAAAAGCAAACTGCATAGGTATGAACGGAGCCTAAAGCTCCAGCTAGACCTGCCTCTCCTGACTACACATGGACTAGTCTGCCTACCCATTTTTTCTCATCATAAAAGGAACTGAATATGAATAGGACTTGATCATGCTTAATACAAGACCATGTCCACACCTACTGAATTCCATACTCTTCTAGAGCAGACCAGGGAAAATTGTGACCCCCAAGGCCACATCTTGCCCTTTGGCTGTCTCTTTCTGGCCCTTGATGTCTCCACTGTCAGCAAACCTCTCTGAGTCTGTCAGCTTCCCAAGAAAAAAGCATTTCCATTTGTCAAGCTCTGCACTCCTGGTTGAAAAATGCTGTGGCTGCAGCATGTGAACAGCCCCATCCGGTTGTTATTTTACAGTTCGGATGGGTGGCTGGGGGACAGTAAAAACATGGCTCAGCTGCTTGTTTTACAACCCCCAACCACCTGTTTGAAAGAGACCTATTTCACGAGCAGCTGTACCTATTGTATAATTCTTAGCACCATACTTTCGTTTTCTACAGTATATGTTTACGTACTTACGGGATTTCCCAGGTCCAAAACTAATATTGAGCATAATTAATGTGATGTTAAAGGCAACCAAAAAATGGTATACTTACCTGCTCTGTGTAATGGTTTTGCACAGAGTGGCCCTGATCCTCCTCTTCTTGGGTCCCCTCCTGGCCCCTCTCTCCTGCCAAGTGCCCCCAAAGCAAGTGGCTTGCTATGGGGGCACCTAGTCAGGCTCGCTCCCAGGTCACTGCTCTGCATGTCCATTCACACAGAGACCCACCCCTCTTTCCTCATTGGCTCACTGGCTGTGATTGACAGCAACGGAAGCCAATGGCTCTCTGTGCTTTCTCAGCCAATGAGGAGGGAGAGTTCCCGATGAGAAGAGACTCTTTCTGGATGGATGAGGCTGGATCGCAATGAGGCTCAGGTAAGTATTAGGGGGGCTGGGGGGGGCTTCAGCACACAGAAGGTTTTTTATCTTCATGCATAGAATGAGCCTTGAGCTTTTACAACCACTTCAAGTTCAGCCCTGCACAGCAGTCCCAGTCTCTCATATGACCTATTGGGAAAATGAATTGCCCACCCCTGTCCTAGAGGACCCCTACTTCTCCTCTATGCTTGCTTATGTGTGCCGTTACTTCAATATGTTTATATACCTTACCAACCTGTAACACTCATTACTGCTATGTACAAGATTTCTTTTGGAAAGTTGCTGTATTTTTTAAAAACCCACTAAAATTCCTATGGTAAAAAATTCCAAAGCCAAACGCATACGTTGGTCCCGCACACACAAAAAACAGCAATCGTCCCACACATGTGAGGTATTGCTGCAAAAGTCAGATCATGGGCAGTGATTCTAGCACTACAACTCCTCTGTAAATCTAAAGTGGTAATCTGTAAAGGCTTTAAAGTGTCACCTATGGATAGTAAAATTTACGTCATTTGTCGCTGTTGCATAGTCGGCACAATTTTACATTTCACATGTTTGGTATCTATTTACTCGGCATAACATCATTTGTTCATATTTTACAAACAATTGGGTTATGTATTTTTTTAATAAAATTTTAAAATGTGTGTTTGTTTTAAAACATATATATACTGTTTGTGGGTTCTAAGTAATTTTCTAGCCAAAAATCCAGTTGTTACAAGTAAACAAAAAGTGCCAGAAAAGACCTGGTCTAGAAGTAGTTAAAAAGGTGAGAGGCTTTATCATGCGGTTGGTCTGTGTCAGACAGAAATGAACACAATCAAGAACTGCTCAGAGACCCAGATTTACATGGTTGTTTGAACTCCGATTCAGCATTTCAGTCCAAAAAGCAGAAGATGACTCCGGGTGATGCCTGAATAAAGATGGTGCTGTCCTTGTGGAAGAAAGGGTAATGAAGGTATTGTCAGTGGGGGTGATGTGATCGATGTATGTAAAAAATGCATTGCTTACATTTAATATGATAATATACATCAAATTCTATATCCATGTGACATCCAGAACATTTTTTTTGTTTTGGATACAGTGACTATGGGTTTAAACCTCTACCAGAATTGTATTCCTAAGAAAGATATAGGGAGCTGCTGAACAACGATCTTTAACCCTTTGAGGAGTAGAGTCATTAACCACTTGCCTACCGGGCACTTATACCCCCTTATTTACCAGGCCAATTTTCAGCTTTCAGCGCTGCCGCACTTTGATTGACAATTGCACGGTCATGCAACATTGTACCCATATGAAATTTGGATAATTTTTTTCTCACAAATAGAGCTTTCTTTTGGTGGTATTTAATCGCCACTGGGCGCTTTACTTTTTGCGCTATAAATAAAAAAGTGCAAAAAATTTGAAAAAAAAAAAAAAAGTTTCTTTGTTTCTATTATAAAATTTTTCAAACAGGCATTTTTTCTCCTTCACTGATGTGCGTTGATGAGGCAGCACTGATGGGCACTGATAGGCGGCACTGATGGGCACTGATAGGCAGCACTAAAGGGCACTGATAGGCAGTACTAATGAGGTGGCACGGATAGGCGGCACTGATAGACAGCACTAATGAGGTGTCACGGATAGGCGGCACTAATATGCAGCACTGATAGCCGGCACTGATAGGTGACACTGATGATGGGTACTGATAGACGGCACTGACTGGCATCACTGCTGGGCACTGACTGGCGGCACTGACTGGCACAACCCCTGGGCACTGACTGGTGGCACTGACTGGCAGCACTGCTGGGCTGCACTGGTGGGTGGCACTGGTGGGCAGCACTGGTGGGTGGGCACAGGTGGGTGGCACTGGTGGGCACAGGTGGGTGGGCACAGGTGGGTGGGCACAGGTGGGTGGCACTGCTGGGCACAGGTAGGTGGCACTTCTGGGCACAGGTGTGTGACACTGCAGAGTGGCACAGGTGGGTGCACTGCTGGGCACAGGTGGGTGCACTGCTGGGCACAGGTGGGTGATCTGCTGGGCACAGGTGGGCGGAGCTAGTGGGCGCATTGCTGGGCACAGGTGGGCGGAACTTGCGGGTGGCACTGCTGGGCACCAATCATCAGGGCACTGATCATCAGTGCCCTGATGATCGGTGCCGATCCCCGCTCTGACAACTGCCGGTTCTCGGCAGTACTTTCCTCACGATCTGACAGCGTGAGGAAAGTGCAGCCGAGAACCGGCACTTGCATTTCCCTCTGATCAGCGTGTCATTGGACACCGCTGATCAGGTGGTAAAAGGCCGCTGTGATTGGCCTTTTACCACATCACGTGATCAGCTGTGTCCGTAGGACACAGCGTTCACGGAGATCGCCGGGTGCGCGCCCCCTGGGGCACGCAGGAGAGCGCGTTCTGGGGGGGGGACGTCATATGACGTCCACTCAGAACTGGCCGGCCGCAGTGTAGCCGTCATTCGGCTATCTGCGGTCGGCAGGTAGTTAAAGTCTATCTATGGCCAACATTTTAAATCATTATATTCAATTCCACATTGCTTTTTAATTATTTTTAACCTGTTCCTATTAATCAGAATGATCATGATGTTTATAAACCTACTTGATGAAGATCCAACCACATTTACATCCTTGAATTCTGTGACCTGTATTCACTATGCCCTGTGAGTACGCACTGCTGTGTCACACATTCCACAGGGCATGCCTTCTGAACTACAGAGGTGCTGAATGGAGGAGTTTCAGGAGGTGGAGTCAGAACAGGAACCACAGCTTGCAGGCAGCAAGGTAGCATGGGATATGTAGTCCTTAGAAACTGAAAATAAACGGTAGAGGAGAAAGTGTAAAGCATGCAGGGAATCCAGGAAGTTGTAGAAAAAGAGGGTCAGTAGACAAGCAAAACTCACAACATGAAAGATTTTTCAATTGCAACTATATTGAAATGTCAAAAATAATAATTGTTTATATTTCTATTACAATTATCATGTTATACAATGAAAGTGTATGCAATGACTGTAGACCTCCTTTAAGTCAAATAAGTGAAACCAAATGATATCCTTATCTACAAAAATGGTCCATACACATTCAATACTTAAAGTATATGTAAATCCTCACCTTGTAAAACAACCCATTCAGTTTAAAATAGAAATGAAAGACAAAATATTTGTGTATAGATATATATTAAAAAAAATACCTTTTTTACAAGTAATCACATACCCTCTGTTCTCAGCTGCATAAGCACCTTAGAGAGCTGGGGGTGGAGAAACAGCAGAACACTGATCTTCCTAGTGAATGACTATGAAGAGGGGGGATATTGTCAGGTCAAGTCTGATCATTGGAGGAGAGCAGGTGCAGTTCTAAGCACAGCTATAAAACTGGCCATGCTGTGCTCTCATGCCTAGTGTAGTCAGACAATTTCACACAAAGGAAGAAATACAAAGAGAACATGATACTTTTTCATACAAGTACATGGTAGAGAAGACAAATATCAGGAATATGAAACGTTGAATTTACATACTATTTAATGACCCTGCAATCTATTTTTCACGAAATTGTTTTTTACTGTGTTTTTCTGTCTGTTTGTAACATCCTCCATGAGCTAATAGACCTTTCATTTGATCCCTCACATCCCTTTGCTTTGAATGAGCAGTACACATTAGTTGAGGTCATGTGCACTGCTGTCTGCATAGTATACATCCCATAGTCCATAGTCCCTAATCCATTTTAAGATTGAACAAGAAAGGGTGATTACTTTCCTACATACAGTGGGACCATTGAAAACGAATGTAGCCACCCTCACTTTAATGCACTGGATATATACTAAAATGAATACATCATAAAATCATATTACATATTTTTTTTAGCTATTTAAGAATGAAGATAGTTTAAGTTTTTTGAACAGCGCTCTAAATCATATTGAGTCCAGTTTTTAAGCCTGATAAAATTAGGTTAACCCAATTTGATGATTTAAACCTATGTTAACAACTTACCGGCTGCCCTGTGCAAAATCACGTATACACTGTATATTGGCAAAAGTATCAGGACAGCCCTACAAATCATTGGATTCAGGTGTTTCAATCACTTCCATGGCCACAGGTGTATAAAATCAAGCACCTAAGCATGCAGACTGCTCCTGCAAATATTTGTGAAAGAATGGGCCACGCCAGGGGCGGACTGACAACTCATGGGGCCCCCGGGCAATAGGGGATCATGGGGGCCCTGTGTCCTTGCCCAAACTCAAAAAAGCCTATGAAAAAGGTACCAGGGGCATCTCATGGGGCCCCCTACTGACCCCGGGCCCTCGGGCAGTTCCCGAGTTTCCAAATGGTCAGTCCGCCCCTGGGCCACGCTCAAGAGCTCAGTGAATTCAAGTGTGGTACTATGATAAGTTGTATCACCTGTGCAATAAGTCCATTTGTGAAATTTCCTTGCTACTTAATATTCCACGGTCAAGTGTTAGTGGTGTTACAAAAAGTGGAAACAACTGAGAACAACAGAAACTCAACCATGAAGTGGGAGGCCATGTAAAATGACACAGTGGGGTCAATGCATGCTGTAGTGCACAGTGTGCAGACGTCGCCAACTGTCTGCAGAGTTAATAGCTAAAAAATGGTATACTTACCTGCTCTGTGTAATGGTTTTGCACAGAGTGGCCCTGATCCTCCTCTTCTTGGGTCCCCTGCCGGCACTCCTGGCCCCTCTCTCCTGCCAAGTGAGAGAACCCCTCGTACGTTGTTTGTTGTTGTTGTACTGTGCCATGTATTGTCCCCCCTATTGTACAGCGCTGAGCAAACCCTTTGGCGCTATATAAACTCGTAGTAATAATAATAATAAAAGTGCCCCCAGAGCAACGTCAAAAATTTGTGTGGCTTTCAGATTGGCACAACAACAGTGCGTAGAGAGCTTCATGAAATGGGTTTCTATGGCCGAGCAACTGCATCCAAGCCTTACATCACCAAGTGCAATGCAAAGTGTCTGGGGCAGTGGTGTAAAGCATGCCGCCACTGGACTCTAGAGTAGTAGAGACGTGTTCTCTGGAGTGATGAATCATGCTTCTCTGTCTGGCAATCCAATGGATGTGTCTGGGTTTGGCAGTTGCCAAGAGAACGGTACTTGCCTGACTGTATTGTGCCAAGTGTAAAGTTTGGTGGAGGGGGGATTATGGTGTGGGGTTGTTTTTTTCAGGGGTTGGGCTTGGCCACCTAGTTCCAGTGAAGGGAACCTTGAAGTCGTCAGCATACCAAGACATTTTCATGCTCCTAACAGTTTAAGAATGGCCCTATCCTGTTCCAACATGACTGCGCACCTGTGCACAAAGCAAGGTCCATAAAGACATGGATGAGAAAGTTTGGGGTGGAGGAACTTGACTGGCCTGCACAGAGTCCTGACTCCAACCCAAACATCTCACCTTTGGGATGAATTAGAACAGAGACTGCAAGTCAGGCCTTCTCGTCCAACAGTCCTGACCTCAACCCAACAGAACATCTTTGGGATGAATTAGAGCAGATTAGGCCTCCTTGTTCGACATCAGTGCCTGACCTCACAAATGCACTTCTGGAAGAATGGTCAAACATTCCCATAGGCACACTTCTAAACCTTGTGGACAGCCTTCCCAGAAGAAGAATTGAAGCTGTTATAGCTGCTAAGGGTGGGCCAACTCAATATTGAACCCTACGGACTAAGACTGGGATGCCATTAAAGTTTATGTGCATGTAAAGGCAGGCCGACCAATACTTTTGGCAATATAGTGTATATTAACAAACAGCCATCAGCTTTAATATCCACATATTTAAGTGTGTTCTGTTTGACCACCTAAAATAAATGATCATGTGCGTGTAATGGCAGGCATCCTAAAACTTTTGGCAATATAGTTTATATACGTGATTTTGCTTTTCTGGTTAGGGGAGCACGCTGTGCCGTCCCACCCTCTGTCTCATTGGCTCATGTTTATATTGGCTTCCAATATATATACTGCCATTTGCAGACGCTATACTTTTCATGCAAACCAATTAATATACACGTATTAGTATTGTTTCTTCGCCGCATTTTGGCCTAAATTTATGAAGAAATGTTATTCTTTTGTAGTTTTCTATTAGATATGTTTTATAGCAAAAAGTAAAAAAAAGAAAAAAAATCATATATATATTTATATATATAAAATATATATATATACTGTATATATATATATATATATATATATATATATATATATATATATATATACTGTATATATTTTTTTTTTTCTTTTTTTTTTTTTTCATTTATAGCGCAAAAATAAAAAAAACAGTGATGATTGATCAAACATTAAAGAGACCCTGTTGCCCTACTAGGTATTTGAATACCACCAAAAGAAGGTTTTATTTGTGTGAAAAATTATATAAATTTAATTTGTGTACAGTGTTGCATGACCGTGTAGTTGTCAGTTAAAGTAGCGCGGCGCCGTATAGCAAAAAATGGCCTGGTCATGAAGGGGGGTAAATCTTCCAGAGTGCAAGTGGTTAAACCTTCCATGTATCCCGGTTATAGGTCATAAGGCTGCAAAGTCTGAGTTTTGTACTTACCCTGTTTTGGAAATAAAGAGAAGGGGTATTGTATTACTTGACATGTCCATGTGTGAGCAAAAGATGTCAGTAATATTCACTCATATTTGTGTCAGAATCACAAAGCAATGTTGCCCTTAAGCCAGCAATCAGTAAACGTAGTCAGGAAGTTTGACTTTAGGAATCACAACAGGCAGGGAGAACAGGTTACATGGGATTCTGATAGTGATAAGTGATCTACCACTGACCTGATTCTAGAACCAATGTGAACCATTATGCTATTGTTTGCTTGTCTAATCTTGTGAGTGTTGAAGGGTCTTGCTAGAAAATGTGTGTTTTTCAATCAGCGGTGAATGGCTCGGAGGATATATTGTTTTTCATCAGAAATTTGACATTTGGACAAAACAGAAAATTTTAAAGCACTTTAACTTATGACTTTGTATTGTTATCCTTTGTGTCATTTCACATCAATCTAAAAAAATTTAATATTGATAGTCATTTGGGTCGTTATACCAAAGTGGCATCAACTAACCAAAATATTAAATGAAGGTATAATGGTATAAA